ACACACACACACAGATATACACACACGCACTCTCACACACACACACACACAGAGATATACACACACACGCACTCTCACACACACAGATATACACACACACACACAGCTATACACACACACGCACTCTCACACACACACACAGATATACACACACACACTCATACACACGCTCCCACACACACTCATACACACGCACTCACACACATATACACACACACACATTTAAACCCACTGCATACTAACACACAGTAGTGCTCACAAGTTTGGGCTCAGTTAAAACAAGTCTCTTCTGTTCACCAAGGATGCCTTTATTTGATTAAAAATACAGTAAAAACTATTTAGAATAAATGTTTTCTGTGTGAATACACTGTAAAATATCATTAATTTCTGTGATCAAAGCTGAATTTTCAGCATCATTACTAGTCTTTTTATTTTTTCATTTTTATTTCATGTATTCTAATTGTTTTGTTAGCATTTTTTGTAGTTTTATTTTGTTTTATTTGAGATATTTTTATTATTATTCTATTTCATGTTATCAAATATACAGTAAAAGTGTAATATTATAATAATGTAATGTATTCCTGTGATGCGCAGCTGTATTTTCAGCATCATTCCTCCAGTCTTCAGTGTCACATGATCTTCAGAAATCAGTATAATATGCTGATCTGCTGCTCCAGAAACATTTCTGATTATTATCAATGTTGAACACAGTCGTGCTGCACAATATTTTTGTGGAAACCGTGATACATTTTATTTTTCAGGATTCACAAAAGAAACGCATTTATTTGAAATAGGAATCTTTTGTAACATGATAAATGTCTTTACTGTCACTTTTGATCAATTTAATGCAACCTTGATGAATAAAAGCATTCATTTCTTTTTAAAAATATTACCACAAACTTTGCAAAATGTGTAAATTTTATGATATGGAGGTAACAAACCAATAAGTGCTTAATAAATAAAGAAGAGAGGAACACTTGATCATCTGAGTGACTCAGTGAATCGGTGACTCAGTGAATCAGTGAATCGGTGACTCAGTGAATCGGTGACTCAGTGACTCAGTGAATCATCACCATGCCGGTGTTGAGGTTCTTGTCCACTCTGCAGTAGGTGTGCGGCGCCGTCTCGCCCTTGCTAGGCATCAGCAGCGAGATCTCAGTGATGCCCAGCGTGTTCAGCGCCTGTGAGTCCGGCGCTCGGCGGAACATCAGGAAAGTGCGGTGCGTCGCAGGACCGCCGGAGCTCAGGCTCGCAGAACGACTGTACGGGGTCGTCTCGATCACCTGCCATCCGGACCGGACCGGATCCTTGCCCTCGTACAGAACACTGACACAAACACACACACAAAACACATCCATCAGTCGGCTTCTCATCTGTGACCCTGGACCACAAAACCAGTCATAAGGGTCAATTATACTTCTATATCTACATAGTTTATATTTGTACTTCTGCGGCATGGTTTTATCTTATGTTTATGTGTGTGTTTTTATTTTATTTACATAGTTTTGCACTTGTCTTGGCATTCAATGTGGACAGCAAAGAAAGAATTTCATTGTACAGGGAAAGCTGTTTTCCTCACGGTGCACATCACAATAAACGCTTTGAATCTTGCGCCATTTCAACAACAAAAATAATTCCAAACACAGCCAAAAACGCAGTTTTGTTTTGGTTGTTTTGCGCCTCTAAACAACATGACAGACAAATGCATTCATGTCCTGCATTAAACAGTGTGTAAACACATCTAAATGCCACTTCAGGTGCAGCTTATGTCTGGATTGCAAAGATGAATTGTGCTGATATTGATTTAATTTGCTTGGTAACAGCCTAAATGTCTTATTATTCTAATTCACTGATTAAATGTAAGAATTTGACTCAAAAGATAATGGACACTTTTAGAAAAATGACTTTATAAAGGTAAAAATGTCCATAAAAGGTAAAAATCTTATGGCAAAAGATTAATTTCTCTCAGTGTGATCTGACCAAACACAGAATATGAAGAATATTAAAAACTTTAGGAGTCAGCTGTCTACAGCAGTCTTTGAGATACCAGCACAATAACTCACTCAGCACAATATCATCTAATTACCGTTATCGATAAAATCCCAGAAAATATGGAGATATTATTTTTCCTCACCCGAGCTCGACGACGGGTGGTTTGTCGTGTCCTCTGCGGTAGCACAGGAACATGTGTGTGTTGTTGAGCAGGCCTGCGCTCAGCTCCGCCGGATGGCCTGCTTGTGTTTTCTCAATGCAGGTGAATCCCTCAGGAACGTCTTCCCCGAGACCGCGGGCGATCACAGCCAGATCAGTGACGGGCTGCAGCGCTCTCACGCCCCTCTGCTGACCCTCCTCGTCCAGTGGAGACCCGGCGCCTGACAGACCCGCCACCACGAAATAATCCACCAGCTGAGGACAGCGCTCCTCCGTCATCACGCCGGTCTAAATGCCACTGACACACACACACACACACACCGTCAGACCACAGATACACACAAAACTGTGCCGTCAGACCACCAAACTCCCACTGCAGTCCATCAAGAGCACATGAAAATTTAGGGCCAGTTTTACTAACACACACACACACACACAGAGACACACACTTAAACACACACACACACACGTCTGCCTGATGGGGTCAAAGGTCACTGCGCAGGTGACGGGTGATGACAGACTCACTGCATCCGTCTCATCTACAAACACACCCATCACCATGGCGACCGCCTCAGGACCGGACATCCCTGCTGAGAGTAAGCGGGTTAAGAGACGAACACTCGCGCTCTCTCTCATCCAACACACGGTGTGCAGGAAACTATCAGAGGAAACAACAGCCGCTTCACTTCACTTCCTCTGCATCGCTCAGCCGTTCAGACAGATCGACTCAGAAAGTAATGTCAGAGTAATGTCTTCAACAACAATCTAAAACAGCTCAAGTCAAGACATCACATCTCTTATTTCAATTCAATCCCTCAACAACATTTTTATTTCAGACCCAGGATTCAAGCCGTCTTGGAAAAGCTAGATATATATAAAGGGGAAACTTCAAAAGTGTGATTTCTAGACTTGGAGAAACTAATACAATACTTTAGTCGTGGATATTTCAGTTTTTTCAAGTTATGCCCAGTTCTAAAACATTTTATTAGGTAGAAATTTCTACTTGCAAGTAAAATAAATAATTGTAAAAATGGCATAATTATGACCTGCTGGAAAATTCAGCTCTTGAAACTTCAGAAATGTATTTAGGCTACTTTTCATTTTTTTATTAAATCATTTTAATTAATATTAATATATTTGAATTATCATATATTAATAAAACACTGAAACTGTATTTAAATTAATGACATTACTTATTTAAGTTTTTAAATATTTAAAGTCACAATGAAATGGAAGTAGTGACAGGTCTTTTCTTTCTTTTTAGTGAAACAAAAAAAACAATGTAGGCCACTTGGGCACTTCTAGTTAAAAATTAGGGTCCAGTATACAGAAAAAAAAAGTCAAATATAAAATAAATAAAAAACTTTAACAAGTAAATTTTATTTCATGCTAACTTCAAACTAATTTAAATGGCCACTTCTAGTTTCTGTAGATAATAAATGTTGAAAACGAGCAGCTTAGTGATTACAGCAGAAATGTCATCAGATATTGTTGAGAACAATGAAGCTGTGAACCTCTGATCTACACAACACTCTGCAGGACGCCAGACGAAGAGCCTTTATCCTTCCAGAGACACTCAGAGACGGACACTCATTCAGAGCGACACACACACACACACACACTCTCACTCATACACACTCACTCACACACACACACTCTCTCACCACACACACACACACACACACACACACACACTCACACACACACTCTCTCTCTCTCTCACACACACACTCTCTCTCTCACACACACACACACACACACACACACAGATGCCTATCGAGTGATCAGAAACTCATCTGTCTGCTGCGCTGAGCTCATAATGAGGAAGCAGGACAGAAACTGATTCCCGAACAGCAGAAGAGCGTATGATAGTGTGCTGATAAATCCATTTATAAAGAAACTGGATACTTTTTTGCACTACTAACACGTCAAAGGTTTCTCTTTACAACCACTATGTTTACAAGCACATCAATCAAACTAATAGTTGAGCACATATTGTATAACCTCCTGGGAAATAACATCAGGAAAGGAAACACGCATTTATAGATCAGCAACCATGTGTACAGGAATATATTCCCAATTCTGTACGTATATAAACATAATATTCAGAAAATGTCTTTAACCAGAGCTGAAACAGAATATGATGTGTGTGTAACATATTATATGTTATATGTGATATACTAAGAGTCTTGGTCTACATGAAGTTGACCGAAGTGAGCAGAACTGTTCCACATCAAACTCACGTGAATGTGAACTACAGTCCATCCACACACGGCCTGCAGATCGCTGACACAGAAAACAGGAAGAGAGACACTGCGGCAGGAAGAGAGAGCGAGAGGATTGATTTATAGCGACTGAAGGACTGATGCAGGACACACAGCAGAACCGAGCGCTCCTCACTGACCCCAGAACTTCAACCACAAACACTGAACCAGCCGCAGGTCGATTCACACAGTCTGTGCTCTGCATACTGTAGTATATACCATATACTGGTGACTAGTGTTAAACTAGTACTTAGTGAAGTATACAATGAGAGACTCTTCCCACATGACCTCATTATATGTCATATTTAATTCAGCGATCTGCACCCAGTTAGTAAACATGATTTACTATGACATTTGCTTTGTGCAAAAATGTCTGAACTTTTGTCAGTCTGATTGAACAATGAGTCAGGAAAGAGATGCTAAAAATGGAAGGTCTAGTCAAGCGCATTGCATTGTGGGATGCAGGGACACATGCAGTGTTCCCCATTGTTCTGCTCACTATACTAAATGTAGTAAGTTGTACAGAATACATACTGAAGAATAGTATGAGAAGTATGTGTAAAGTGAGTATAGTATGAGTAGTGATAGTGTGAGAAATATGAGTAGCGTGTTTAGTATGAGTAGTATGTATAGAGTGAGCATAGTATGAGTAGTATGTGTAGAGTGAGTATAGAATGAGTAGTATGTGTAGAGTGAGTAGTGTATGCAGAGTTAGTAGTTTGGTATGAGTAGTGATAGTGTGAGAAATATGAGTAGCGTGTTTAGTATGAGTAGTATGTGTTAAGTGAGCATAGTATGAGTAGTATGTGTAGAGTGAGCATAGTATGAGTAGTATGTGGAGTGAGTAGTGTGTGCAGAGTTAGTAGTATAGTACGAGTAGTGATAGTGTGAGAAATATGAGTAGCGTGTTTAGTATGAGTAGTATGTGTTAAGTGAGCATAGTATGAGTAGTATGTGTAGAGTGAGTAGTGTGTGCAGTTAGTAGTTTGGTATGAGTAGTGATAGTGTGAGAAGTATGAGTAGCATGTTTAGTATAAGTAGTATGTGTTAAGTGATCATAGTATGAGTAGTATGTGTTAAGTGAGCATAGTATGAGTAGTATGTGTAGAGTGAGTATAGAATGAGTAGTATGTGTAGAGTGAGTAGTGTGTGCAGTTAGTAGTTTGGTATGAGTAGTGATAGTGTGAGAAGTATGAGTAGCGTGTTTAGTATGAGTAGTATGTGTAGTGAGTATAGAATGAGTAGTATGTGTAGAGTGAGTAGTGTGTGCAGTTAGTAGTTTGGTATGAGTAGTGATAGTGTGAGAAGTATGAGTAGCGTGTTTAGTATGATTAGTGTGTGTAGAGTGAGCATAGTATGAGTTGTATGTGTAGCATGAGTGGTGTGCACATTATTATAATATGAGCAGTGATAACATAAGTCTGAGTAGCATGTTTAGTGTGAATAGTATGTAAAGTGTGAGAAGTATAATTAGTATGTAGTGTGAGTAGTCTGTGTAGTATTAATATGTATAGTATGTGTAGTGTGACTAGTATAGTTTGTGTAGTATGTTAATGTGAAATAAGTAGTGTGAATAGCGTGTAAAGTGTTTGTAGTGTGAGTATTGCGAGTAGTGTTTGTAGTATGTGTAGTGTGAGCAGTACAGTGTGAGTAGTGTGTGTAGTTTGTGTAGTGTGAGCATTGTGAGTAGTATGAGCAGTGCTTGTAGTATATACAGTGTGAGTAGTGTGTGTAGTTTGTGCAGTGTGAGTAGTGTTTGTAGTTTTTGAAGTGTGAGCAGTGTTTGTTTGTAGTATGTACAGTGTGAGTAGTGTGTGTGTGTGTGTGTGTGTGTGGTTTGTGTAGTGTGAGCAGTGTGTGTAGTGTTTGTAGTATGTACAGTGTGAGTAGTGTGTGTGTGTGTGTGTGTGTGTGTGTGGTTTGTGTAGTGTGAGCATTGTGAGTAGTGTTTGTAGTATGTGTAGTGTGAGCAGTGTGTGTAGTGTTTGTAGTATGTACAGTGTGAGTAGTGTGTGTGTGTGTGGTTTGTGTAGTGTGAGCAGTATGTGTAGCGTGAGCAGTATGCGATTGCAAACACAGCCTGTGGCCTCAGCACCTCAGCACTCACCCTGAATGAACCGTATGGGTCAGATGAATAGTATCAGATGAGTTGGGTTGAGCTGCACGTTTCGGTGGTGACGCACACAACCTCAGGTGTCTTCACTAGAAAACTCCACTTCCTGTTTCAGCTCATCTTTGAGCTGAGGATGCGTTTCCTGTCCACGCTGCTTTTAGCTCTTTCTAAGCACTTTCAACACTCACTTCCTCAAACGCCTCCGCTGCACAACACAAGAGTTTCCCTCGTTCATCTCAGTTCATCTGCAGCTGTGTGAATATCATGCATGCCATCAGACGCTGAGGGATTACAGATCACACACACTAACACTAGTGCTGCTGCTGTTAGCACACTCTTTTATTCAGTGCCTTGGAGCTTTAACGGTTACGAAAGTAAATTTGAAACAAAAAATGCACACTTGCAAAAAATGAAGAAAAAATGCACTGCAGTCATTTTAATGCATTGTATTTTCAGAGCGTGCATTCCTGGAGGCTGAAGTTCAACTTGGTTGAATATTTATGTAGTGAATATTTCAGATGGAAAATTTCACACTACTTTATTAAAAATTAAATAATTTATATTCACTTTCCTGAGTTAATTTCCAAAATATTAAGTCCAAATAAACAAATAAATGATATAATACAATATATAAATATTACAAGACAAAATGCAGGCATCACAGTAATGGCAATTATCATAAACTGCCAAATCATAATTGAAAATAAAATTCAATTAATCACGAAGTCCAACTTCAGACATCATTATATTCACTATATAACACCAGATCAGATCAATTGCGCTATTGATTAAATGTCTGTGTTTAATGATAATCACAAATCATAATTTTATGATTATCAAATGATTTTCAAAAAGTTTTTGTAAATCTGGAATCTGAGGGTGCAAATAAAATCTAAATATTGAGAAAATCATCTTTAAAGTTGTTCAAATGAAGTTCTTAGCAATGCATATTACTAATCAAACATTAAGTTTTGATATATTTACGGTAGGACATTTACAAAATATCTTCATGGAACATGATCTTTACTTAATATCCTAATGATTTTTGTCATAAAAGAAAAATGTATAATTGTGACCCATACAATGTATTGTTGGCTATTGCTACAAATATACCCCAGCGACTTATCAATAACGGATATCAACTGATATCTATTATTGAGCAGCTGACTGATATAATGCTGATCAACAATCATTTCAGTCATAAGAATAATCTAGCATATTTGTGGGCATGTGCAGTTCAATATTATATGAAGAAACGCAAATCTGTTAGATTAATCATGATCGAAAAGAAATTCTGCTTCTGTGTTGATTCGCTAATATTCCTGAAGCAAAACCAGTTCAGAACCGACTGACGGTCCACAATAACACACACACACACACACACACACACACACACTCTCTCTCACACACACACACACACACACACTCACACACACTCTCACACACACACACTCACACACACTCTCACACACACACACTCACACACACTCTCACACACACACACTCACACACACTCTCACACACACACACTCACACACACTCTCACACACACACACTCACACACACTCTCACACACACACACTCACACACACTCTCACACACACACACTCACACACACTCTCACACACACACACTCACACACACTCTCACACACACACACTCACACACACTCTCACACACACACACTCACACACACTCTCACACACACACACTCACACACACTCTCACACACACACACTCACACACACTCTCACACACACACACTCACACACACTCTCACACACACACACTCACACACACTCTCACACACACACACTCACACACACTCTCACACACACACACTCACACACACTCTCACACACACACACTCACACACACTCTCACACACACACACTCACACACACTCTCACACACACACACTCACACACACTCTCACACACACACACTCACACACACTCTCACACACACACACTCACACACACTCTCACACACACACACTCACACACACTCTCACACACACACACTCACACACACTCTCACACACACACACTCACACACACTCTCACACACACACACTCACACACACTCTCACACACACACACTCACACACACTCTCACACACACACACTCACACACACTCTCACTCACACACACTCTCACTCACACAGACTCACACTCACACAGACTCACACACACTCACACTCTCTCACACACACACACACACACACACTCACACACACTCACACTCACACAGACTCACACTCACACAGACTCACACACACTCACTCACTCACTCACACACTCACTCACACACTCACTCACACTCACACACACACACACACACACACACTCTCTCTCTCTCTCTCTCTCACACACACACTCTCTCTCTCTCTCTCTCTCTCTCTCTCACACACACACTCTCTCTCTCTCTCTCTCTCTCTCTCTCACACACACACACACACACACACACACACACACACACACCTGGCTCGGCTGATCTCGGCAGGAATCATGTTTGAATCACACGCGTCTGTTACAGCTGTCATTATTAATAAAGCGATTTGTCTCGTCAGCTGGGTTCGGGACTCACCTCAGCAGCATCCCGTCGTCTGGTCCGGCCGGTACCGGGGCTCGTTAGGGCTCTAGCCTGACTGCGCGGAACAACCGTCGCCGCTGCGCTCCGCCATCACGGACAGAAGGCGAGCTGAGGTAGCTGCAGACGCGACGCGCTGACTGACGCCTAGCGGCGCGGAGCCGCATTACAACAACCGCACTGACAGAGACTGGACAGCTGCAGCTTCTGATCGATCTGAATGATTATTAGTGAGCTTCTGATGTGACGCATGACGCTGTCACGTGACACGTGTTACTCTTCTCAGCGCTGTCATCAATCACAGCTGTTTATGATTACTTGACAAGGATTTAAAATTCATTTGATATATTTGTCTATCAGCATGTCAGGTACGGGTTATTGGCGTTAAAGTTATCGATCACAAATCTCTAATAAGACAAAAACGTCACTATTGTGAAATACTATTCTGCTTTAAAACAGCTGTTTTCTGTGTGAACATCTGTTCAAATGTCATTTATTCCTGTGTTCGTTTGAACTTTGTTTATCAAAGAATCCTGAAAACATACGCAAAATATTAAGCTGCAAAAAAATGATTTTAACATTGATAAACATTTTTAATAACTGAGCATCAGTGATAATTGATCAGCATATTATACTGATTTCTGAAGATCATGTGACACTGAAGACTGGAGGAATGATGCTGAAAATACAGCTGCGCATCACAGAAATACATTAATATTATAAAAATAATATTTCACTTTTTTTGTGTCACACAACTTTTAAAAATCATTTTCTCTCTCTCATCGATGCATGTGTAAAATAAAGAAATGATGTCACAATGCACATTCACTTTAACTTCTTTATTTTTCTGTAAAATAAGGAGAGGATACGGTCTTAAAAAATGTTCCGTCAGAAGCACCTATGCTTTCAGGACATTATTTACAGCATACTTGGTTTCCCCCGGTTATCAAAACACCACACATTAAGAGCAACAATCATAAAAGCACATCTTAAAATAGAATGCACACGTTTCGTTTATTTTCATACCTAGACAAAAGCTAGGGCTATTTAAGATCGTAAGCGCTGAAGCGTGACGAACCGATATCATGAAGCGGTTAGTTATTCGACAGCTGATCTTCATCAGATTTCTATCAGACCTGAGCTGGATTCACAGAGCAATGCAGACGCCAGACATCACTTCACTTCAAACAAACCCTCAGACGCCGACTTTAAACACGTTTCTGGACAGATTCAGGTCTGATCTGAATAATAAAAAATGTAAAAATGACAAAAGTCCTCCGTTCATCGTAGATTGAAAGAGTCATCGATTCTATGGAAGCCCGTTTCCACCACAGAGTTTATATCTCACAATTCTGTGTTTACATCGCAATTCTGTTCATAGCGCAATTCTACGTTTACATCTCGCAATTCTAACTTTAAATCGCAATTTCAACTTTCTGTCGGAATTCGGAGATTATTGAAATTGTACGTTTATATCACAGTTCTACGTTTAGATCTCGCAATTCTGTTTATTCCATACATTTCTGTTTATATCACAATTCTACGTTTATATCTCACAAATCTGAGTTTATAACTCAGTTTGTCTCGCAACTGAGTTTATATCTCGCAATTCCAACTTTCACAATTCTGATTATTGAAATTTAATGTTTATATCTCACAATTCTAATTTTAAATCACAATTCCAACTTTCTTTCGCAATTCTGAGACTATCAAAATTGTACGTTTATAGCTCAATTCTACATTTATATCTCACAATTCTAATTTTATTTCGCAATTCCAACTTTCAAAATTCTGAGATTATCGAAATTTTATGTTTATATCTCACAAATCTGAGTTTATATCTCACAATTCTACGTTTATATCTCACAATTCTAATTTTATTTCGTAATCCCAATTTTCGCAATTCTGAGATTATCGAAATTGTACGTTTATAGCGCAATTTCACATTTATATCTCGCAATTCTGACTATATCTCACAATTCTATTTTTAAAATTCTGTTTATAGCGTAATTCTACGTTTCTCACAATTCCAACTTTTTTCTCGCAATTCGGATTCGCGAGGAGAAAAAAAGTCACAAAAGTGAGATAAAAAGTACCACTTTAATTTTTTTTTTTTAATTCCATGGCGGAAACCAGCTTCCATAAGCTTGAGTATTTTTATGGCAAAATTAATATTACAATGTGATCGATAAAATGCCCATGAGATTCTAAGATCTATTTGTAATGAAAACTGATTCTAGACTTTACTAAAATAGTCATTTTTAATCATTGAAATAATAATTTATCATTTCTTCCCTTTGATTTTGGGGTGAATTGTAACGTTTTGTTGTTGACTAAATTTGTGAGATTCACCTGAAAACATTCGTAATCCACCTGGTGATCGACACATTTCTCAACATATTAGCTTCATATACAAATATACATTTATGCACGTAAACATCTATAGCAACTTTATTTAAAAATAAATCTCATAGTACGCAGTATTTAGTTACATAAAAATACGTGTTCCTTTGAATATGGCCTTGCTCAGGAGAATAATCGTGCAAATACAGGCAGAAGAGAGCGCAGACGAGCGGATCGCAGTAAACACACACACACACACACACACACACACACACACACATATTTGGTCATTTACGACACTGTTTCAGTGGTTCAGCGCATGCGGCGACACAAACACGCTGCTGCTTTAACTAGTGCAGAGAGGAGACTAGTTAGTCTGGATCAGAGATCATCACTAAACATGAGCAGACTGAATTCTGGGGCAAAACAACGTCTGTTCTCATGCATTAAATGTGACGCATGTCTAAAGAGAACGGCTGTGTTTAAAACGGCATACTAGCTCACTGCATACTGCACACTATATAGTGCATACTAATCTGTAAAACGGCACTGTTCTCTCATTCTATGAGTTTTGCATCACTGATTGTTATTCCCCCATACATATACTCACACAGCAAGTAAATTAAGTAAACTGTAAACTAAGTAATTAATTACTGCAATTTGCATTGCTTTTCCTTTGAAGAATTCAAGTAACAGATTACTCTTTGTCTGTAATTCAAGTACAGTTCATTCTGATGTAACTGCATTAAATACTGTTTGGACTATAGAACAATTCTATATAAAAATTCTAAATTTAACATTTAATTGTTAAAATGTTTGTTTTTAATGTAACCTTCTCCCCTTAAAATACTTTGGACAGTTCATGTATAATTTATGCAATTTTATTATATATATATTTTTTAGAGTAATTACACTGTTGAAGATGAATTACTTTTTCATAGTAACATATTAAAAACATAAATATAATTACATTAAAAATGTAGGTCAATTATTCCACAATAAGTGCTTCAATCGATAGTGTGCATCATTGCACGGAAATAAAAATCTAAATTTATTTTGCATTGTCAGGAGAAAGCACAATGCATTTTGTTTTGCACGCACGCAGTACAGTGTGTGTGCTGTATACTGCAGTATGATAGTATGCTGTTCTGAACACGGCCACGGTGCATGATTATTTCCCTGTCTGTCATTGGTCAGTCAGACCGATAGCCCCGCCCCAAACTCACGTGATTGGCTGAGACATCAAACAGATCAAATAAAGTGTCTCACTCGTCACATCTGAACGAAACAGCGACTTAAGCGCACGAGTGGGTTCAGCATTAACCTGGTGTGGTGCAGTGCATGCTGGGACTGAAGCGCCTGAGCAGCGATCGGTGGAGGCACGTGGCTGTGATTGGTCATCTGTAACAGGAAGTGGCCGGTGCGGCTTTGATCGTCTGAGAAGCGTAGCATTAAAGGGCAGAAGCTCAGGGTTCAAGCGTGTGTTCTCGAGTCACTTGAGGTGGTCAGAGCGGAAGGAGTCCTCCACGGCGGGGTCAGCCAGCATCAGGTCACCGTCTGTCAGCATGCCCAGACCCCCCAGCGCCAGCGGGTTGTCAGACGAGAACGGGTCCATCTCGAAGCCCGGGACACACGACAGCGCACTCGTGATCTCCTTAGACAGTCCTGAGGAATCTCCTGAGACACACAGCAGACTGTGAGCACTGTGCTAATAATACATTAAGCAGCGCACACACACACACTCACTCACACACACACACACTCACTCACTCATTATAACCAATCACACACAAGTCTGTTGAGCTTATAAATGCAATGGCGCTTGCTGACTGAACTCAGCTCTCACGTGAATTCTCTCATCATAAACAACAAAGTGCAGATGTATGTATGATGTAAGAGATTCATTCATCAAAGCTTTACTGATTATAAGGGCATTTTTTTGACAATGTAAATGTTCTTTGCTCGCTTTCTCTGTATAATTTATTTGCTGTTTGAATAACTGTGGAAGGTACAGGTAATAAAAAAAAAAAGAATTCATTACTTCATCCGGGAACATCCTCCTTCATAGCGTCAAGCTTCGCCTGGTTTTGTATTGTTTTGAAAAGCGACCTCTAGTGGCAAAAACTTTTGCAATACTCGTTTTTGATTGTTTCTCTCTCTCTCTCTCACACACACACTCTCTCTCTCTCTCTCTCTCTCTCTCTCTCTCTCTCTCTCTCTCTCTCTCTCTCTCTCTCTCTCTCTCTCTCTCTCTCTCTCTCTCTCTCTCTCTCTCTCTCTCTCTCTCTCTCTCTCTCTCTCTCTCTCTCTCTCTCTCTCTCTCTCTCTCTCTCTCTCTCTCTCTCTCTCTCTCTCTCTCTCTCTCTCTCTCTCTCTCTCTCTCTCTCTCTCTCTCTCTCTCTCTCTCTCTCTCTCTCTCTCTCTCTCTCTCTCTCTCTCTCTCTCTCTCTCTCTCTCTCTCTCTCTCTCTCTCTCTCTCTCTCTCTCTCTCTCTCTCTCTCTCTCTCTCTCTCTCTCTCTCTCTCTCTCTCTCTCTCTCTCTCTCTCTCTCTCTCTCTCTCTCTCTCTCTCTCTCTCTCTCTCTCTCTCTCTCTCTCTCTCTCTCTCTCTCTCTCTCTCTCTCTCTCTCTCTCTCTCTCTCTCTCTCTCTCTCTCTCTCTCTCTCTCTCTCTCTCTCTCTCTCTCTCTCTCTCTCTCTCTCTCTCTCTCTCTCTCTCTCTCTCTCTCTCTCTCTCTCTCTCTCTCTCTCTCTCTCTCTCTCTCTCTCTCACACACACACTCACACTCTCACACACACTCACTCAGTCACTCACTCACACTCTCACTCACTCTCACACACACTCACTCTCACACACACTCACTCTCACTCACA